GCTTGATTGGTCACACCCTAAATACCAAATGGAAGGTATTGGTCTTTCCGTACTAGTACGAAAATTTTTTTTTTTTTACCGTACGTACTATCAAAATCTCGCCCAATTTACGTCCGTACGTACAAATTTGTACTACCGTACTGTACTACTTTACTAACTACCTGCTAAGATCGTACTGTATACGTACGTATCAGATACGTATAAATTTCAGATACAGTACGTACCTGATATCTAATTTTTTCATAATACTATACATATATAGTATAAGTTATGTTCGTATTATTCTAAAGAATTTTTTAATTATCGTTATACGTATAATTCATTAAATATCAGATATGTAAAACTAATGTCATTAAGTATATATATAACAAAAAACACATAAATAGATAATTAAAAATATCTATATGTTTGACAAAACCAATTGTTTAAGAATAATATGTACCGACTACGTATGTAAATAGCGTTTGAAATATATTTATACGTACCTTTAAAAACAGCATTGAACTATTTTAAGTAAAATCTGAACAATCTTTGTTATATAATGATTTGTTGTTACGTACGTATTAAAAATTCAATAACTTAATACGCATTGTACATCTAAGTGTATTAACAAATTTGTTGCACTAAATTTATTTTGGATTTAGATCATTTCAATTTTACACTCATGACACCTTGTACGCAACTCTAAATACTGATGTTTTTTCTTTATATATATATATATATTGTATTTAATGGTTATTAACACAGAGATGATCTAATTTAAAATTTTAATAAAAATATTTCATATATAAAAAAAACACAAAGGTTCATCACATAGACAAAAGCTATAATGTATATTTATATATTTTATAAAAATAATAAGAAAAAATGTATACTATATATAGAACTGGGATTGAAAAAGCAACAAGAATTTACAATTAAAGTAGCAGAATGACTGGCCAAAAAATGATTCATCTGAATACATAAAGTTCATATCCCATAATTAAATTTTGTTGTATTTATAAAAAAAAGTCAATATATATATTTAGCTAGGAAAAAGAAAGGAAATGACTTTGTAACGCCTATTGCAAGGAAAGAAAAAAAAAGGGAACCCATCAATCATATACCCCACAATTATATTCAATGTCTATTCTTTTGCCCAAAATTAAAAAACAAATGTAATATATGCACTCCCTTTGTTTTGCTGTAATAAAATATAGGCGAAAGTTTTGATTTGTAATGATAAAAAGTCTTTTTTTGATATACAATGTATATGCAATGAAGCTGAAGATCGTCCATGATTCTTGGGTATAAATTTATGAAAATAAAAAAAAGTTTACAAAAACAAGATATAGTCCATCATATATTCCATCAATGTTACTAGTACAGATTTCTTGTTCCTCGTGATTAATTATCTGAATCGTCATTTTGATTGTCAACATTGCCATTCAAATTAACGTTATTTAAAGAACCAATGTTCGTATTTGGGTTTGGCTCCGATACAGGTGTCATATTAGCGAAGGCATTTGCAGTTACCCCAGGACTCGTTGGTAGCGCATCTTTTCGCATTTCTACTTGACGTTTGTCATAAAATTCGAAATCATCGAGTATTGAAGTTTTGCTACGATAATCGAAAAATATTTTTAACATTTCGCGACCAGGTTCAGGATATAGCTCCTGTGTGTCACGACTATTTGTGACGGGTTTATTTTCGTTGTTCCTGTGATATGTCCCATGGCATGAAAATTAAATATAATCATTAGTCGAGCATTAAGCGTTAAAATCATGCAATGTTAAATTTTAGCGATACATACACTATTCTAATATGCCTCAGTTGGCCATTTGGAATATCTTTAACGAAAATCCATTTAACTTTAAATACACCCTTCCATTTATCCTGAGCCCAAACGCTACTACTTGTTGTGTAATCCACTGGAGTAAGCATTTCTGCCATACCGCAGAAATGTCCACTGAAATAAAGTTTCAATAATAAATATGTGTAAATAAACATGAAAAAATATAATATATTGCAACCAAATCTTTTATACTATTCACCTGGCATTGACACTGAAGAACAAATAAATTGGACCTTTATCGGCATTATCACGAAAAGCCTTATCCAAACGACGATTACCGATTTCTGTACTAGCCCAAATGTCATACTATAAAGATAAAATCATAATACATTTAGCAAAAAAAAAACAAAAAAAAAAACAAAGAAAACATAAATGAACAAACCTTCAATGATTTATGAACATCATCTTCAGTGTAAGACTTGATTACGAAGAATCGTGCCTATATTCGTTATTCGTGATGATGGTAATGATAAATTATCCACAGCACAATATAAATATTAGAAGAAAAAGAGCAAATGCACATAAATGCTTACGTTCAGTGGCTTGCAGTTAAAAGTCTTTGGGTTATACCCTCTTGCCGCAATCCATTGTGACATATCTTTCTTACTCGTACTTGGAACTGGTGGAATAGAGAGCGGTGGTACCATGGAACTTGAAGTATAGGTGCTTCCAATGCCATTACTTGTAGGTGTTCCAATAATTTTACTTTTATCGCGCCACAGCCCAGTAGGAGCAGACAATGGTCTAGATGCATACGTTGATGTGGGTGAAACAGCTGAAGAAGGTGAGATAACAGTACTATAGGTCCCACTTAACATTTCTTGAGAAGTATTTACTGGTGGTGGCTTGGAAGTTTTGGGGGTTTTGGCAATACTAGCCCAAGATTTTGTTTGTTGTTTATTAGATGTCGATTGTCCCGATACCTGAACGTTAGAAATATCAGGAGAAGTCTCTTTACGCATTTCTATGCTACCATTAGTTATACTCATATTGTTCAGTGAGTTAGTTAAATCTGTAATTGTTTGTCCACCAGCAACATTCCCTGTTATGTCGCTCGCAAAAATGTTTTGATTAGGATTTACACTAGTTAAAGGTGGCGATGTAAGACCTGCCACCAACGTGGAACTGAAATATTGTTCTGCGTGCTCAGATCTCGGTGAAGCTGGACTACGAAACTCCAGTCCTGGAGGAGCAGTCATCATAGGCTGAAGGCCACGAATATCTAATTTTAATTCATTACTAAAGTCCTTACCGTCATTGCCTGAGGTAAATTTTCCAGTATCCCGTGGTTGTAGCATAATATCATCACTATTTGTTGGATCATATAAAGCCATACTCCCAGTAACATCATCATCAGTAATTACTCCACCATTTCCACGGTGTAAGACGTCAGTTGCTACAGAAGTACTCCAAGCTGGAAGGCGAAATATAGAATCTGGTTGTGTTGGTTGCTTTTGCTTAAGCTGCTGTTGTTTAAGAAGCTGTTGCTGTTGTTGTTGCTGAAGCTGTTGTTGCTGCTGTTGTTGCAACAAATGTAATTGAAACTGCTGATATTGCAACTGTGATTGCTGTGATTGAGAATGAGGTTGTTGTTGTAAAGCATTTCCAAACGACCTAAATGGATAATGCACCTGTTGTGGTTGGGGAAAATAGTTTGTAGGCGAGGATGGCGCTACAGCACTAGTAGATGGATTAGTGTCGTAATAATCTAATGGACCTCCTTGACCATGCTCAAATTTTATATGGCCTTTATCATCATGTATGGTACCATTTCCTTGAATACTACTATTTAAAGTAACAGATCTTCGAAATAAGCCATTACTGTAATTGGAATATTGATCGGGAGTCTGAGATGGGAAATATTCTGTATTGTTCAATGGATGTGTTTGAATTGATGAAGGATTTGATGAAAAAGGTGTTGAAGATGTCCAAGGAGATGGCGTTGAAGGAGCAACAATGGTTGTTGAGTAAACATTACTATTATGATCACTCTGTGATGGTAATGTCGGCGGTAAAGTTGCTGCACGTATAGGCTTGAACCCAATGGATTCCTTTTATTTTTAAACCATAATTATTATTCGTTTTTAAACATTTAATTGATTTTATCTCTATTTAATTATTTACCATACGAAATGTATGTAACAGACCTTTGGCGAGTCCTCAAGACCGGGACTTCGTATTACTTTTTCCCATTCCCCCGGCTCATCATCTGTCAACGCGGATAATGAACTCTTAAGTGTGGCTTCCATATCATAAGCTCCTAAGTAATAATAATATATCAATTATGATTTATTTACTTCCGACAAGACTAAAAATAAAATGAAATGAATTTCAAAATCTTGATAGAAACGAATCTAAAAAATTTCTTTCATACCCCCATAACCTGAATTATTATTGTTTGAAATCCGAGGTGGAGGCGATGCAGAAAATGAACGTCCAATTGAGCCATACATGCTTTGCTGTGCTGGTTGAAAAAGTAAACCCTCCTCAGCATGAGTAATGTTGGGTTGTGGATGTTCGTTGGCCATGATTAGCACCACTGGACTACTGGTATTGGTATAATACTAGTTATTATGGTACTATCACCGTTAAAAGTTTATGGTTAATGGTTTTTATTACTGCGGACGCCTAAATTTATAATGGCCAATCAGATTTTAATAGATAGATCGGTGATACGGTGATACAACAAATGTTGGTTAAATTGCTTTTAGTCTGATAAAATGATTTTCTATAACACACGATTCTTTATATAAGAACTGAATTAAGAGATTACACTTGTGCACTTTTGAGATGCAGCAGTTTTGAGAATACTAAACGGTTGGAATCATACCTACGACACAAAATTCACAAAGTATATAACTCCGTTAATATTCCAAAGTCTTCTTCCAATCGAAGTATATATTCGCACACTTTAACTTGAAAGATTTTCATATTATTGTGAATACTAATAATATTATTCGAGATTATAGTTGTTATGCGAAAGTTAAGAGTTGCAGAAGTGTCATATATGGAACAACAATAAGTGATATATGTTAGCAATCCACCAACAAGCATAGTTCCAATATATCAATATCAGAACCTGTGGATTTTCATAGCATCTAAAATAGCACTAATGATATTACGACAACCATATAACCAAATCCGACTGAAATTGTTTTATTTTAATTCTATATATATCGATATGTCTATAGAATCAAAATAAGAAAATTTTACCGAATTTTGTTTGATTGTTTTCGTGATATTGCTACGTAGTGCTTATTTTAGATGCTATGAAAATCCACTGACTCTGATATACAACGCAGAGTCAGCAACAATTTAATGGGGAAATAAGTGCTGGAAATTCAAATTACATTGATGAAGGTTTGGTTGTGTTTTCGAGTACAATGACCAAATTTTTAGACTGTCACCTGGATTGATAGGGATAGTTCGATATTTCCTTGGTGCCGCACAAAAAATGCGCGGCTAACGGCCGAGGATCTTCGAAATTTTGGCCCGCATTACTATTTTCCGGCCGGAATTAACTTTAAAAATAAGCCCGCGTTATGGTAAAATTGGTCCAGGGTAAAATTATGAGTAATTCCGGTCTAATTTTTTGATAGTGCTCTTAACCAATCAAAATCGAGTACCTGCCGCGCATTTTTTGTGTGGCACCTAGGGTAGGTTCAATGATCCGACTACCCACAAATTTCTCTTACCATGTGTGAAAATATTTGCGAATTTTTTGTTATATAAAAATGATCGTCTTTATAATCTTTTATAAAGTATATTTTACAAATATACATTTATACAAACCATGTTTTTAAGCTTAGTTTTAAGCTTGCACTATAGTGCTAACTAAATTCACATTTTCACGAACCTAATCCAGTAAAACTGCAACAGTTAGGGGAGTGCCATTATCATATGATTCTTTTTATTAAGAGGCTACCTTATCAGTAAAAATTTTATTTGGACTTGGACATGGACTAATCCAAATAGTGTGTCGAAATTTTCGGAACATTTCGGCTAATTTACCTCAACCTTGCACTTTCAATCAGGAACTTTTCGGAACAGTGAGCTAACGTGTTTGATTTGGACTACCGTAAATTCTGAACTTTAGCCCGAATTAAGCTTAATTCGGGCCAAAATTCGATGCCTACTAGTGTTCCGCACGGATCGAATCTAGCGAATATTTCTAAAGATTCGAATCCGCATTATACAGATTCGGATTCGATCCGATTCGAATCTAGAGATCTCTTTTTGCAGTTGCACAAAAAGTACTAGGTTACTTTAAATTATATCGATATACAGT